TTTAGATTTTTATCGTTCTCATTATTTTCAAATTAAGAATTTATTTATATAACAATACTTTTTATATCATAAGCTTTAATTAATTTTAATTTAATTTATTTGTTCATTAAATTTTATCTAATTTTTTATTAATTATTAAATTAAAATAATAAATCTTTAAATTCTTCTGGAATATCATCATCATAATATAAATTTTCGTTCTTTAGAAAAACATTCAATTAATTAGGAATCATTTAACTTGTAATTAAATAATCTTAACTTTCATATTTCTATAGATATTCATAAACCTAATTTAGAAAATCATAAGAATCAATATTTACCAAAATTTATTATAAATTTAAAATATTTTACTAATTTTCTATTATTTTTATTAAATCGTCGATCTTAAATATTTAATTATTGAGCCAACTTCCTTATTTTTGAATAGAATCAATCCATCTCAAATTTTCATTAATATCAGGGATAATAATTAGGTTCGTATAACTTATTAGTTTATAATATTATTAATATTTTTGTTTTATTTCATCATTGTCATTTTAATCAAGTATATTTTAAAAATAAGGGAATTTAACTTTTGATAATTATTAATAATTTTCATTTTAATCCAAAACAATTTCCGATTATAAAAGCTTTTATTAATAAGGATATATAAAATTCTTATTTAACCATATTTTATTTATTAAATTTTATCTATCAACTGGTTCTTTTACTTCTGATAAAATATTTAAAGAATGCCATTTCCACTATTTTTTTTTTTTTTTATTCAATAAAAATATATTTATATGAGAATATTAAATAAATATAAAAATATACTTATTTTTTTTAAACACTATCAATAATACTGTTAATTAATTATAAACATGAATCTAAAATTTATACTATTATTATTTAATTCTATTTTAAATTTTAGGTTTCATTTCCTCCTAAAATTATTCCTTCTCTTTCTATTATTTTTTAAATATATATTTTATTTTAAATTTAAGCATATATAATTATTATTTATAAAAAAAAAAAAACCTTTATTAGGAGTAAAACCTAAGCTATTAATAATAAAAGGAAAATTAAAATCATGAGAACCAATCAAAGGAAAAAGTTTAAATAAAACTGCAATTTCATTAGATTTTCTTAATATATTAATTGTTTTATTTTATTAATTAATATCTAGTTCAATAGAAATTTATGTTAGCTTATCTTCATTTATAAGAATATAGGAATTTAATGATTTACCATTATTAATTATTTATACATAAAATACATCTTTATCGAATATTTTTATTGTTTCTTTAAATTAATAGCATTCGTATTTTTTTAAAATCTAATTATCGATTTCAATTTTATTAACTTTCTTTAGTTTAGAAATAAATATGATTGTAAACTTTAAACACCTATCTAAATCTTAAAATCCAATTTCACCTGTTTATATATTTTCCTAGTTTATAAAATTATATTAGAATATAGTATTATTAATATCCTTAGGATTATATTCTACGTAATTATCTTATTTTTCTAAATTAATAAAAATATGAGCAACTTAATGTAAGCTATTAAATATTTAATTATAATCTCCTTCTCTGTTTAGCATTACTCCTTCATTTTAGATATATTACTAATTATTTTCTATCATATTTTATTTATAAATTCCTTTTATAAAAACTTATTTAGAAAGTAAATGAGTTGTCAAAAATCCAGTTCCAAAATGTCCAATTTTAATTTAAGCTTAATTTCTAATATTTTTATATTTTATTTTTAAAATATATATTAATTACATTTAATTTTCGTCTATTTTTCTTTTGGTAGATTTCTTAACGAATAAGTGACTTAGACTTTATTAATCAAAAGGAATACCATTATGTTAAAACTATAAAAAAGTATCTGTCAAAGTAAATTTAAGAATAGATCCTTCTGGGTTTATATTTAGATCATTTAAATCAACTCCATTTTATAATAATTCCCATGGCTTAAATATTTATTAATATTTTATTTTAAATAAAAATATATTATTATACCCATCTTCTTTTTGAGTTTTCAGTAGAATCACTTTCTAACTCTTTTATTAGATCATAAATTGTATAAGAGGTTGTTTCTATTAATAAATCAAGAAATTATTCCATTTTTTTTATTTTTTGTTTGTTTGTTTTTTGTTAAAAAATCTATTATATTAAAATTATTAAATTAAATTCTTTATAAAAATAATAAAAAATTTAGCAAAATTTTAGTAAAAAATTAAACATATATAATATATTATAAAATATAATTATAATAAATAGTTTTTAATAAATAATCAGTGTAATATAAATTATATAATAATTATAAATATTATAATAATATAATATTTATAATGATTAAAATAATGTCAATAATTAATAATATAAATTATAATAATTAAAAAAAATTATTAATATTATAATATTTATATATCACAATTTAATATTATTATAATATAATTGAATATATTTATTTATAATTTATATTAAATTAAAATAATTATTTATATAATTTTTTTCTTTTGATATTCTTATAGATCTAAATTATTGATGTATTTTCTAATTTAATTTTATATTTTATTAACATAAATATTTTTACAAATAGTTAAAATACATTATAATTTTATATTAACTTTAACTCATAACAATAAAAAATCTGAAATTAATAACATATAAACTATTAATCTCAAAATATAATTTTTAAACAAAAATAAATTATTTTTTTAAATTAAAAAATTTAATTTCATTAAGATTTTTATAAATAATATTAAAATATATCTCCCAATGTAATAAACATTTCTACTTATTAAGTTTTTTTATTTATACAAACTAATCTATTTCCTTAAGCTAAAAATAAATTTTCCACAACTTTTCTAATGCAATCTTCTTTTTCGAAAAACTCATTTACATTTGAGCTCATTAATTTGTATTTTTACTTCTCATCTTTTAAAAATTACATAAACTCATATATTGGTCTACTTAACTATATAAATATAATTTTTTAAATAAAATAAATAAAAAATTAATAAATATAATATAAATCTAAAAAAAAAACAATCTAAAAATTCTAAGTTTTCCAAATAAAAACTATATCCCTTCTATGAATTAGTCCTTTATAAATATTGTTCTCATCCAATATAGGAATAGAAGATATTTTCCATTTATTCATCATAATATCAAAACAGTTATAAGTAGAATCTTTTAAATTATAACTAAGTACATTTTAAGTATTAATAAATTAATCTAATGCATAAGATATAGGAATATCATATGGGTTCTAATCATCCATCTCATTACTAAAATCTTAGGTTAGGTTTCTTATTAAAAATAATAAAATATCTTTATATGTTAATATCCCGACAACTAATGTACTTTCATTATCTATTACTAAAATTCTATGTATTTTGTTCTTTATCATTTTACTACATGCTTATTACAAACGATCATCTATACTTACAGTTATTAATTCTTTATTTTCAAATTTCTTTAAATTTAAATATATAATATTACATTATTTTATTTTTAATAAAAAATATTTTTATACGTCTTAATTTAAAATTCTAAACCAGCTTCTTACAGATAACTTTTAAAGATCTAAAAAAAATTACTATTTCTAAATTAAATTAAATTATGATTATTCAGCTTAAAATTATTATAAATTTGTATTTATTGATTAACATTAATTTTTAAGATTTAAATTATTATTAATATTTTTATTATTTTATTAATTTAAATCTTAATCAAATTCTATATCATATAAATTGTTCTTACATTTGTTAAATAAAAAATTAATTTCTTCGCCCATTTCTGATATATATATTTAAATATATAAATATTTATATATATTTATTATATATAAAAATTACAATCAACTTCTTATAATATTTTAATTTCTTTCAATTTAGATAAATGTTCTTTTTATATTTAGCTTTCACTTACTTTTTTATTATTTATTTTTATTTAATTATATTAAATATAAAAATATTTATTAATAAATATTTCTTTTTAATAAAAATACAAGGAATTTTATTTAAAGCTGCATTTTTATAACTTATTAATATAATTTTTACTATGTCTGAATAAGTAATTATTCCATCAAATTATGCAGTGTCTTAATTCCATATTAATGCTTCTTCATATTTATTTTTAATAACTAAATTTATAGCTTCAAAACATGAAAAGTTTTTATCGATTACAACCAGCTATAATAAAAATATTTTAATAAATACAATTTTTTTATATTAATTTTATTATTTTTTTATTTCATATTTCTTTAATATTTTTTTACATTTAATTGAATTATATATTTTATTAATATTAAATATTTTTTATAAATAATATGCTAATCCTTTTATTTAATCTTTATTTAATAAAATTTTATATTACAAGTTTACCTAAGAATTTTTGGGTAGACAATCATATACTTTACTTTCATTTAAAAATGCATGTATTGAATTTTTACAATCTTCCTTTTTATTGGAATATGTATTTTTAATACAATAAAATCTTTTTAGATTTTAAGATTAATTATTTTTAAAAAATTACATTTAAAATATCTTCCTTACTTTGAACTCTTTAAATTTTTTTTTTTCATCCATTTTTTAAGATAAATATGAAGAATATTAATTTTATTTTAATATTTTATTTGTTTATTTTTTTATTTTAATTATTTATTTAAAATAAAAGCAATTTATAAATTTGTATAATATTATGTATTATTTATTTCTTTTATAATAGATTTTTTTTTAATTTGATTTGCTGAAAATAATCGCTATTAAAATAAGCTAAAAGTTATTTTTAGAGTTATTATCATTTTTTAGAAACAATGGAAATCTATATATTAAAATAATGATTATAATTAATATCTATTTTTTAAAAATTAAAAAATTACGTTTTTTGTTTATATGTATTTTATAAAAATTATTGTATATATAACAGTGTCTAATACATGATTGTAAAAATAATATTATATTTAAAAATATTCTTTGTATAATTTTTCACATTAAAAAAAAAAAATCAAGTTTCATATTTAATAATAAAATTAAGTAAAAGTAAAATTAGAAAAATAAATAAGAAAAAAAAAGAAAAAAAAAAGAAAAAAAAAGAAAAAATTTTACATATATATATATATATATATACATATATATATATATATATACATATATATATATATATATATATATATATATATATAATAGATACTTTAAAAAATTAAAATAAAGAAAAACAATAGACACAAATTATTTCATTTTTTATAATACTTATTTATAGCTTAACCAAATCCATATTTTTAATCTATTTCTATATTTAAAATAAAAAATATTAAATAATAAAAAACATACTATTATTCGAAGTACTAACTTTTTTATGAATATTTTAAGGAGTTAAACTTCCTTTCGGATTATTCGAAATCAAATTTTATTACTGCATTTTATTTTTGTGACTATTTTACCCAGAATAAGATCCTCCTTCTTTTTTTAATATATTATTTCCAAATTAAAATCCTTTTTTTTCATTCTAATTTTTACTCTCTTCCTATTTTTAATTATACATTTTAGCTGCAAAAACATCATCATTAACAAACGGATGGTTAATAATATCTCCAGTTTTAATTCTTTATTAAGGATCAACCTATAACATTTAATCTATACAATCTAATATTTCATTAGAAAGATTTTTTTTAATATCTTTTTACATTTCATATTTCCCCTCAATTATTTTTTCAATTAAAACACTATTAGAATTTCCATAAAAAGGAAAATCTCCAAAAACCATCAAATAAAGAATTACTCCCATAGCCCAAACATCAATAGAAGGAGTCAATTATTTAGCTTTTCCTTGTAAAACTTCTGGAGCCATATATTTTAAACCCCCTGCGTCTAAATTTTCAACATTTAATTTAGATGCAAGACCCGCTATACCAAAATCAACTACCTTTATGTTTTTTTATTTTTCTTTTTATTGAAAAAAAAAAAAATACTTTTATTAAATCATCATTTTTCTATTTAAATAAAATATTTTCCAACTTTAAATCTCGATGAATTAATCGATTTATATGACAATAATTAATTGCATCAACTATCTATTTAAAGTATATTTTTGCCTATTCTTCTGATAATCGCTTTTCTTTATTTACTTTTTCATATAATTCGCCTCCTTCTAAATATTCCATTATAAAAACTACTCTCATATCACTTAAAGTATAACAATTCATTATTTTTACTATGTTTTTATGATTTAATACTTTTAATATTTCAGCTTCCCGAAATACCATATCTATATCTTATGCGTTTCCTTTATTATTTTATTTATTTAAAATCAATCATGTATATGTTATTTCTTCATATTGCTTTTTTTCATTTTTTCTGTAATTTATTTTTAAAAACTCAATCAACAAATTAAAAAGACAAAAAAAATTGACAATTCAATTATCTTCTTTTTTTTTTGTTGATTGAGTTATTAAAAACATTGAGAAAAAATAAACAATATGAGCAGTAATATTTACCATTAATATTAGTTTTTACTATCTTTATAGCTACTTTTTTTAATGTTTATTTATGAATACCTAATAATACTTGACCAAATCCACCTTCGCCTAAAACTTTTACTAAATTATATTCAGAAAAAGTAGAATTTGAATCAAAATCTTCTCCTAAAAATTTAATTTGATTTATTTAATTTTTTTTATTAAAAAAAAAAAAAAAGGATACCTTTAGATGCATATAAAACTGCTTTGTCTTTAACATATTACAAATCATCATCTGTTAATTCGACTCCTTCAGCATTAAATAATCTTAAATTTCTCATATTTTTCATTTCGGATTTTTATTCAAGTTAAGTTAGAATTATTTAAAATGTTAAACCCTTTTATATACTTAAGTCAAATGGTTATAAAGTTGGGTGACCGTTTCTATATATTTTAACCTTTAATTTTGTATTAATTATATTTTATTTTAGGTTTTATTTATTTAGTTTTTTTTTTTTAATGAAAAATTTACTGTTTTATCTTTATCTGGAGATGGAAATTCATAGTCAAAGTTCATTTTTAATATGTTTTTTTTTTAAAAAAAAATTAATAAAATTTATATTACTTGTAAAAAAATTAAGTTTGTGTTAATTTTATTGATTTAAAATATTTTTTTCATAAAAAGGAAATAAAAATAAATTAAAGATATAAATTTTAATAATATTTTTTATGTATTTTTTGGCTATTTTTTAAAATATTATATTATAAAATACCTATATAAATAAAAAAATAAATTTAATTGTTTTTCTTTTATTAAATAAATAATAAATTAAATTGTTAAAACTAAGATAAAATTCAATTTAAATTTACTTACTATTGAAAATTTGAATAAACTTTATATAATATGAAATAATAATTAAAAAACCCGATTATAAATAGTTTTTTTTATTAAAAAAAAAAGTCAAAAATAAAATAAATATTATTCAAAAAAGACTGATACAAAAATAAAATAAATATTAATCAATAAAAGACAAATAAAATAAAATTAATTGATATTAAAAATTATTTTTCTAAAATAAAATTTTATATAAATAAATAATATTACTTAATTAATTAATATTATACAAATAAAATGAAAAAAATATATATATTTTTTTTTTTAATGGATAAATAAAATTTCCATAAAATAATATTTTTCTTTTTTCAAAATAAAGTAAAATTAAAATAATATAATTATTCTCATTATTTATAAAATTAAATATATTAAATATTAGTTTATATATATATTTAAATATCTTTATATATAAAAAAAATAATAACTATAAATATAAACTATAATAATATGTATTATATTAACATGTGAATTAGATAAAATTGGTATAAGTTTTGAATTAGATATGAACAAATTGATAATATTCACATATAGTTAATTAGAATGATTAGGAAAATAATATTTTCGCAATTATAATATATGAAAATAAAATTCTTCGGCTTAAAGATATATTAAAATTAAAATTAATTTTAATAAATAAAAATTATTAATGAAAAATAAAAATTAATAAAAAAATTAAAAATATAAAAAAAAATAAAAAAAAGTTTGAATAATGACTTTTTTTTATATAAAAATATACGTATAGAATTTTTTCTCCATAAAAAAAGCAAAATTACATATGGATATATATTTAATCGTTAAAATTGTAGTAATTAAAATTACATTGACAATAAAATATCTAGATTATCCTCCCCCCCAATAGCTAATCTTGGAGAATAAACAAGTAAAAAAAATATATTTAAAAGAAATATAATATAAACAATAATAATAATTAATTAGTTAATTATATAAAGTAGATATTTTAATATAAACTTCTAGATTATTTTTTTAAGAAAATTACAATATTTTTTTCAATAAAGATTTTTATTAATAAATATTTTCAAATTTATTATTAATTTGCTTTTTTAATTAAAATAAATATTTATTATGTTTAAATTAAATTACAAAATATTAATTCTTCTAATATATATTAATCTAAATAAAATTAATTCTATTATCAAAAATAATAATAATCATTTATATTCATAAATAAAAATAGTTTTAATAAGTTTATTTTTAAAACTATTTGTATTATAATTAATAGTATAATTCTATTTTTTTTTTTGACTAATAAAGTTATTTTTGTTAAATTTATATAATTTACCATAAAATCTTTATATAAAAATTTAACCAACTAAAAAAATAACATAATAAAATACTCTATATATTCTTTGTTAAAAAATATCGTAAAAAAATAAATAAAACAAAACAAAAAATACTAAAATATTAAATAATGCAATAAATAATTGATTCATTATAAAGCAATCATTTATATATCTAAAACATACAAACTTATAAAAATTACGTGCTATAAAACAACATAGATTAAATAAATTAAATAATAGATACTACAATATTCGTAATCTCTAAAAAAAATGAAGTCCATCCATTAATTTAATTAAATTTTGCTAGGTTAATAAAAGATTTATTCTAACTATATAAAATAGATTTTATAAAAATTATAGAAGAAAAGCTTCTTAATCTCTATACATATATCGCCCATTTTGAAAAAGAAAGTAGATTAGATGACAGAGGAAAAAAATATTTTCAAAAAAATACTGTAGACAATATAACTGAAGATGATAAAGTTATTTTTGGAAATAGTTTTTTTAGATTAATTTTAGAAACTTTATATGTATGGTCTAATTGGCTTCCTTAATCTTAATTTTCGATACAATACTAATAATTACTTTAAATTGAAAACATAAAATTCCCTTCATAATTGAATTACTATAAAATAGAATATTTAAAATTAACATTAGATTAATTAAGGGAAATCTCCCAAATCGAAAGCCATAATGCATCAATAAAAAATAAAAGTTAAGAAAGTCAATAATAGATAAATAAAATCAATGAAAACACAAGTAATAACACAAATATGCCTGATGAAATTAATTTCGAAAGTACAGGAGGTGAAGAAGCTTTATAAATATTAAAATAAATTGATCAAAATAAAAATTTACTTTTTGAAAAATTAAGAGATTCTAAATAAAATATAGATAATAATTCATTATAATATTTTAAATAGGAATTTCAGACTTTTTAAGAAAAAGCATAATATATAATTGAATAATTAATAAGTTAAGAAAAAAAAATATATTAATTACATAAATTTTAGATAATATAGAATTTGGACATAAATATAATTCACTTTCATTCGTATTTTTAAATGGTTAAATTGATTAAGCTTAGTTTCTTTACTAATTAAAAAATTAATAAGATTTAAATTTTTCATAATAATAAATTGATTAAACTCCATTTTGTGATAATATAACTAGATTTAGTTTCAAAAATTTGTTTGATAGTGATGTTTTTAATAAGTATAAATTATAATTAAAAAATAAATAAAATTATGTTAATTTAATAACTAATAATATTAAACATAATACTTATGTGAATTCATCTAGTTAAAAATATAAAAGTTAATTTTATGATTTATAAAATAGCTTAAAATATAAAGATATTGTTCAAGAAAGAGAATATTTTAAATCTCTTTGAGAATAGTCTTAAGAAACTATTAAAAATTTATAATATTAAATGGAAAATGTTAAAAACAAAAATACAAATATAAAATGAAAATAATATGATAATAATATAAATGTATGATTATTTTAATATTTTTAGTATTATTGATAAATTAAATTATAGATATAAAAATAAGCCTATTTTTTTGTTATTGTTAATTTATCAAAAAAATAAAAAAAAAATTTTTATTCATAAAAATATTTATAATAAAGAAGAAATATTTAAAAGAATTATATAATAATAAATAATTATATATTTAGTCAAGTTTCATATTTTCTTATTTATATTAAACTATTAATAATTATAAAATTTTTAATATAATTAATTGTAAAAAAAATAAATAATAAACAAGATTTAAATTTAATAAATAAATATTTAAAAAAAAAAAAAATTATCATAATATAAAAAAATAATATAAAAAAAAATATTATAATTATTAAAAATCAAACAAATTATATTTAAAATAAATAATAAAAAAAAAAAAAAAAAAAAAATTATGGTTAAAATAATATTAAAATTATTTTGTTTTAAAATATTATTATAAATAAAATATTGTAAAAAATTTTTTTGATAATAAAAAAAATATAAATAATAAAAATTAAAAGAATAAAAATATATATATATATATATTATATATTAAATTAAAAAAAAAGTAATATATAATACAAATAAAATCTAAAAATATAAATATATAAATATATAAATATATAAATATATAAATATATAAATAAATATTATAATATTTTTATATTTAAAACATTATTATATTATATATAAATTTTTAAATATTTTAATTAAATCTTTTTTTATCTTTAAAATTTATATTTTGAAATATATTTATATTATATATTATCTTATTTTAATACATCTTAAATAAAAAATTTACAATCAAATATAATACATTTTACTTTAAATACATATATATTATTTATTAAAAGTATATTTATTATTTTTTATACTATAATTTATAGTAAAAATTAAAATTATTCAAACTTGTAATAATATGTTTTACATTATTATTATAAATATATATATAAATATTTTTTTAAAAAATTTTAAGAAGTAAATTTAAATATTAAAAAAATATTAAACTTATAGTATAATTATTATATTTCTAGAAAAATTTGTAATTAAATTAATATAAAATAATCTTATAATAATTAAAACTATTTAATAGAAACAAAAAAAACTTAATTCAAAATAATAATTATTTTGTTAAAAATAAATAATTATAAAACGAATTTTTATTATTCAACTTAATATAAATTTTATTATGTAAAATAAACCATTATGTTTATCTGAAAAATCTTAAAATAAAAACAATCTAATACTTTTAATTATTTAAATATATAATATCAATTTGCTAAAATTAATAATACAGAAATTCTTTTTGTATTTTATATTATACATATTCGAATAATTTTATTTAAAATTATTAAAGTAAGATTTTACTCATCTTTAGTGAAAAGGAAACTTTATTTTTGTAAAAAAATAACATATATATAAAAAAATTGTTATACATTTTTTTTATTAATTTAGTATATAATTTAATATATTCTATATAAAAAAATAAATAATATAATAAAAGAAAAGTATTTATATATATATAAATATATAAATATAAATATATATATAAATATATATATATTTGATATTTATAATATATATATAAATATTTATTATATATTAATAAATAATAATTAATTATAAAACAATAATTATACATAATATAATAATTTATTGTATAAAAAAATTTATAAATATACTTAGTTATTTTATTTAGAATTATATAATTAAAATGAAAAAATATTTAAAACAGAATGACTTTAAATTTTTTTAAAAATGCATATTATAGAAATAATTAAATAAATACAATATTATTTTTATATAAAAAAATATAATTACATGTCTAATATAATATTATATGAAACGAAGTATCATAAAATTTAATTATATTTCATTAAATATTTTTAAGTGTTTTCTTTCAAAACTACGTTTTATAAATTGTTTTTCTTATTAATCTATTATTAAACAAAAGTAATTTTTTTATTTTAAAATTTTAAATGAGATGAAGTTTTTCTTAAAAGAGGTCCGATATTTTAATCATTATTTTTAATAATAATGTTATTTATATATTTATTATTATTATTATTATTATTTTTATTATTATTATTATTATTATTTTTATTTTATATATAATCTTTTAGTTTTTATATTTTTACTTCTTCATCTTTATTTTATTATTGGAATTTTTTTTAATTATTTAATTCTTTTAATACTTCTTAAATTTCCTTATTTTAAAATTATTAACAGTTTTCAACCATAAAGTTTAGTTTAATTTTTAATTCACGCATTTTTTTTCTTACTTCTTAATATGAATTTAATTTAAATTATTCTTAATTTATTTATTTTTTTAAACAAGTGATACTTCTACTATCTTTTTCTATAAAATAACACTAATTAATATTAGTAAAATCTATATTTTTTAAAGTTTATGCATAACTTTTTAATTCAGATAATTAAAAAGATTCATTATTATTATTTTACTCTAATTCTTATTATTCTTTACAAAAATTTTATAATTTTTTTGATGTAAAAGGTCTATTTTATTATAAATAATTTTTTTTTATTATAATTAGATTCCTTTATTTTCAGAAAAATCTCTTATATTTTTTTTTGTATTTTTTTTTTAATTGAGCAATTTTTTTCTATATTATTAATAAGTTTTTCATTTTTCTATAAAAGCATATTTTTTTAATTCAATTCTTCCTACATTTTTTACATTTTTACATTCAATTAGTAAATTTAATATTCTTTTTCAGCTTTATAACTTATATTTTGTTAAGATAATAAATGTTTTTATTTATTTTAATGTTAAAATAAATTATTTGATGATCATATATTATATATAGTAGGTATTTTTTCTTATATTTCAGACATGCTTTCCATATTTTATAATAATTTTATATTCAATTCTAATAAAATTTCTTTGTTTTTTTGAATGTGTTATTATCTTATTTTTATTTTAGTTTTATTTACTTCTGATTATATATTATCTTTTTCAATATTTTTTATATATTTTTCGCTTTCTTCATTTAGATTTTTTATTTCTTCAATACTATTTTTTATTTCTATATTTTCTTCGATTATTTTAAATATTCTTTCATTCAATTTATCATTACCTATATTTAATATATATTTATACATATAATATAATTAATTATATTTTTTATTTTTTTAATTAATATATAATAATTTTTACATTTATTATCTAAAAAATCAATAGAAGTATTCAAGTTAATATTTTTACTTGATAAAAACGGTTATTTTTCAAAATAAATATATTATTGTTTCAAATTTCGAATTTCTTATTTAATCAACTCTTCCTCTTATTCTTCAAAAGGTATTAAATTAATTTTATTCTCTTAAACTACTACTACATTTTTTTAAATATTTCTGGCCCTTTCCACATATTTTAAAGTATTAATAGTTTCCTAATAACTCATATAATTTCCACTAATACAAGAAATAATAATGTTCCTAGTATTTCCTCCCAAAGAATCTTTCAAAAGCCGAGTCAATTTAGAATCTCTATAGGGTACAAAACATCCTTTTTTATTACAATCAGATAACAAATTAATGCAATTTCCTAAAGCTAATAAACTTTTATTTATATTGGAACCTTCTGCAGTTTACATTTATTAGTTTTTTTCATTTTTTTCACTTCCTGCTAAATCTATAATTGTAATTTTTGTTCCCTTTTATAAATCACTTATTTATATAATAGCATGTGATCTTATTTATAAATTTTAATTAAAATGATTAATATCTAAATATATTAAAAAAAAAAAAAAAACATATTAAATAAAATAATACCTTGAAGAAAATTAATTTTAAGAAGTCGATGCCATTGTTCTTCTTTTATTTCCCAAAAAAATTAAATTTTTGACATTTTCCTCATTTTCTATTATATATTCACTTAAATCGGGTACAAAAACACCTTTAGAAGGATCTTCGATTATCATAAGAGATTATTCATATGAATAATTTTTTTAAGGAATTAAATCTTTTATATTTTCATTATATATTTGTAAATAACTAAATTTAAATTTCCCTATATTATTTTAAAAAAGTTATCTTATAATTAAAAAAGTTATTCCTTCTTGTTAAAAATTCCCAAAAATTGTGTGAGATTTTCCAGTACTTGTTGGTCCATAAGCAAATATTGTATAATTGTAACCATTTAAAATATTTTATATAGAAGGCTATATTGCCTTTTCGAATAAAAAGTCTGTTTGAATATTTTCGTCAAACACATAGTCAAAATTAAAAGTTTTTTATTAGTTTTTTAATTTTTAGTGGGTTAAGTTTTGTAAAGTTATCTTATTATTTTTAGTTTTTTTTTTTTATTTTTTTTATTTTTTTACTGTATCTTCGGTACAATATAAGAATTTTCTTTAATTTTCTTTTTAATTAGAAGGTCTTATTCTAACACATACTTGAAAATTTCTATTTTTTTAGTTATCTTCTTCTTCTTGCATTTTTTTTTATTAGATTGTTAATTTTACTAAATTATTAGTATTAATTTTGTTTTTATCAAAATAATAATTTTATTTAATATGAATTTTTTTATTATTTTTATAAATTTTATTTTTTTAGTTGTTTAATATTTTTTAGTTGTTTAATATAACTAATATTCTTTTATTTAAATAAATACTTTATCATCTTAATTATTTTGTCAATTTTTTTTAAAAAAGACATGTAATTAATTAAAATAATATAAGATAAAAAAATATACTATATTTCTTTTTTTTTATAATAACTAAAAATCAAAAAAATTTTAAAAATAATATTGAAAAAAAAAATAAAAAAAAATTCTCTCTAAAAAATATTATTTTTTTTTAAAAAAAAAACATATTTATTTATATAAATCAACACGAATATAATTACAAATAATTTATAAAAAAACAAAAAAAAATATTTAAAATTTTTTTCTTTAAAATCTTAAAAAAAAAAAAATGAATAAAAACCATTCCTAGCCAAACCATAAATCCTTAAAATGCTTAAAATTAGTAGGTCAATACGTAATAAACATGGAATAAAAATTAGGCGAGGGTTCATATGGAACCGTATATATGGCTACTCTCCAAACTGACCAAAGTAAGCAATATGCCGTAAAAGTTATTTCATCTTAAATTTTTAAATCATCTCTTCATAACTTTGAGATGTTAAAAAAAGAAATCGAAGTCCTAAAAAAGCTCCGTCATGAAAACATTGTATGTTTACACGAAATATCCTAATCATCTAATAATTTATATTTATTTCTCGACTATTGTAATGGTGGTGATTTATCTGAATACATTAATTCAAAACTTAGCAAGCGTTTATCAGAGTCTGAGTCGATAGAGTTTTTTAAATAATTCGTAGATGCATATTAATATCTATACTCATAAAAAATAATACATAGAGATGTTAAACCAGAAAACCTAATGCTCCATAATGGAAAATTGAAATTAGCTGATTTTGGTTTTGGTCGTTTTATAGAAGGAGAAATGGACCTTTGTTAAAGGATGTCAATAAAATGTACGCCTATTTATGCTTCCCCTTAACTTCTTAAAAGAGTAGATTATTCTTCGAAATGCGATATATGGTCTTCCGCTTGTGTTTTTTATAAAATGCTTTATGGAAAATACCCTTTCACAGCAGCTAATTAATAATAACTATTAGAAAATATAGAGAGGAAAGTAAATAAATAGACTTTTTAATTTCCACTAGATCCTCCAATAAGTGAAAATGTGAAATAGTTAATTATCCAAATGTTAAAATTCGAAGAATCTGAAAGAATTTCTTGGGAAGAACTTTTTAAGCATCCTGTATTAATCCACAATAAAAAAATGAATATATTAAATTCCCTCGATGAAAATACAGAAAGAGAAGGAAATCCTTTATATTAAAGTATTATTGAAAACCGAAACAATGTAGAAGCCAACGATGTAATAACTGACTATGCTTAAAATGAAAATTTACTTAAAAAAAATAACTCTTAAGAATAAAATAAAGAAAATTCAACAAGTAATACTCAAATAAATATTCAATAAGACGAAAACGATATAAATAACAACAATAAATATAAAGACAGTTTTAAAAAATTCTAATAATAAGACAATATAATGCACAAAATAATAAAAGTGGATAAAATGATTCTTTTTTTAAGAAATTAAGCCCTTTTTGCTGATGTGGTAATGCAATTAGTTTTTACTTCCAGAAATAAATTAAAAATACCTAATTTATTATTTTATGATATTATTTATTGTTTGACAGGATTTTATCATTTTAATTTAGATTTATTGAAAAAAATACTTTTATAATAAATATAAATAAAGTTCGTATAACCTTAAGAATTCCAACTTTATCTATAAAGTAGTTATTATGTAAAAACGAAATAAAAAATAGAATAAGACTCTTCAATTGCTTAGTAATTCTTTTAAACATTACTTTAAGGAATATATAAGGAAGTAATTCTTTTTTTATAAAATCCTTAAAGTTAATAAGGATATGAATAAACAAAAGAATTGGAATGCTTTTTAAAAAAATAAAGTGCTAATTATAACGAATATAAATAAAGATTTAATGATAAATACTAATAAGTATTCAAGTTAATTTAATTAGATATTCATAGCTAAGATATAAATGCTTTAAGAGGAATTAGGGGTCTTTAAATATTCTCAAAAATAGATATTTATATGCCATTGTAATAATATCTTTCATATGATTTTAGACTTCTTTATGATAATTAAATGAATAATTTAAATACTGAATAATTATTAAAATTAATACAAGAAGAAAAAATATGAGAATTAAAATAAAAGTAAAATATAAAATAATTTAAAAAAATATTTGCAATTTATATAATGCAATTTATATTTGCAATATATATTTATACAATATTGTATTAATATTTTATATTTTTAATTAAAATTAATTTATTAAAAAAATATAAACTTAATTATTTATTATATATTTTTTTATTTCTCAAAACGTTTATATTTTTTATTTTATATTTACCTTTGATTGTTAAAATTTTATTTATAAATTTTTTTTTTCTTTTTTTTATTTTTGTCAAAGTATTGATAAATATACTTGTATTTAAAATAATTAATTTTAATGCCGTAAAATATATTTATAAATAATATTATATAAAAGGTATTTATTTGTTGTTTGTTTTTTTTGTTTTTTTCAAGAAGTATTATGCAATTTCTTATTTAATTAATTTTATAATAATATGAATGTTTATTATGATTTTTTAAAAAATAATGAGATTTGTATTCTTAATTTTTGGCTTCGATATATATAAAAGAATATCAAAAAAAAAATATAAATAATAAATAATTCATATTAAATTTTTTTAAAAATATAATTAATGAATATTTATATTAAAATTTTAATAATTTAAAAGAGAATTTGTATTATATATAAAATATAGATAAATATGTATGCTTAGATTAAAACAATAATTTGATATTTAATTATTAATAAATTTAAACTCCTTAATATAGCATTTATCCTATTTATTTTAATAATAATTATATTTAAAGCAAAATAAATAGAACAAAACATTAAATAAATATATTAATTTTTCGAAACATACATCTTAAAAATATGTAAAAGTTAAGGAAAAAGAAATATATTTTTACTTATAAAAATATTTATTTTTATTTTTAAAAATCTTATCAAAACTTTTTTTAATTATTTTTATTAAATATTTATTTGTTTAATTTTAATTTTAATTTAATTTATATATTTTTTTATATTTTTAATAATTATAATAATATATTCATATATTATTAAAATTTATTTGTACAATAAAAAAGTATGAAAATAATTTATATATTAAAATTTCATAATAATATTTAAACAAGATACATGATTTAATTTAATTAATATGTAATATTTTATATTTTATTTATAAATTACATTATTTTTTAAATTTAAATAAAAAATATTTTATGTAAATTTATTTTTATTATTTAAAATATCTATGAAAATTTTTAATTTTCTAAATAAACTATAACAAAAATAAATATTTCTATCATATATATAAAAATTATTTAATTTCTTTAAACAAATTTTTTAATTATACTTTTTCTTCCGAAAAAAACAAAAATTTATATTTAAAAAAATTATTAATCAAAGAGTCATTTAAAAAAAAAAAATGGACACTTCTCAATAATTTTTTTTAAATTAATCTAAGAAAAATTCATATAGGCATAACATACTACTACATGCGATCGTCACTTTCGCAATTCTAGGTTAAGCCCCAATATAAAGTCCTTGAAATCCTTTTTCTTTTTAAATATCTTTCATAATTTAAAAAGAAGAAAATTTTTAATATTTTTGATGTAATTATCTTTTAGTTTTAACTACATCGAAAGGCAAAGTCAAAAAAGCTGTAATAGCCCCCGAAGTACCAGCTGCGATACAATTAGCAGCTAAGTAATTAATATTTTAAAGATAATTTTTGATATTTTCTGTAAGAGTCCAATAAATGGTACTAAAAAGAATATCTCTTTGAAGACTTATAGTGTAAGCCGAAAAAATTCTTGTACCTAATTAAGTGCCTTTTTTTTAGTAAATCCAATTTAGGCCTATTAATTAGTTCTCCAATAATCTAAAGGGAATGTGATTGTTGTAGAAACACATCTCGAAAGCATAGAAGAGATTAAAGGTATGTAAATTTAATTTTGGGAAATTCTTTACATTTATTATTTAGTGATTTCATATAAGTAAAAAAACATTACTGTTTAAGATGTAGATGAATATAATGAATATTTTAAACCGTTTAAGAATGTTTTTAACCCCTCAGTTCGCCAAATTTAATTGATATTTATTATTAATGATTTTTTATCTAAACATACACAAGCATTTTTTAAATTAAATTTATAGTTTTATTTTTAAATGTGATTTAGATTTATTATTTTTGGCTTTATGTTTTGTTTATTGTGAACTGAACAATCTTAGTGAACTTAGTCTTTTTGTTGTTTAACCTTTATTACGTCTAAAGGGTTCACGATTATTGTTGATATTATTGATGCTAAGGTAGACGCTGGAAGTATGTATTATGGGTTTCTTTTATTTTATTATAGCATTTTTTATTTTTATTTTAGAGTAATTTTAGTTTTTCTTATTTTTGATTATAATTTAGAAATATATTTTAATATATATTATATATATATAAAATTTTAATTTTTTTATAATTTTTTTATTATTTTCTAAAAATTATTATTATTTTTTTCCCTATAATTAAAAATATGTCTTTTACCTAAAATATTCGAAAATTTAAAATTATTTCTATTTTTTCTTAATTGTTCTTTTTTATTATTTATTATAAAATATATTATAAATTCAGTTATTATATAAAAATAAACAAATTTTATTCTTTATTTTTTTTTTTTTAAATATAATAATTTTTATTATATTATATTATCTTTAATCTTATTTTTTCTATAATAAAAATATTAATATAATGTTAGCATTTTATTATTTTTTAATTTAAATGTTTAAGATATAAAAAACTCTTTTTTAGAAATAACTAAAATATTATGTTAAAAAAATCTTTATTTTGACTATTTAAAATAAAAAAATAAATATTAAATATAAAAATATAAATATTTTTTTTTATCGAGAATTTAAATATTGAAATAAAAATAAAAAAAATCTAATAAAATATCAATTTTATATTTTTTTTAAAAAATATATATATATATAAATAAAAATATTAACAAATCAAATACATTTAATTCTAAATTTTTAATTTAATCAAAAATAATTAAAATAAATTAAAGATAACTTTATATATTACTTTTTTAATTTATTTATATTATTAAAAAGGTATTTTATTAATTTTTAAATTATATATTATTTTTTTTTAAAAAAAAACTATATTTATAGTTTTTAAAAATAAAAATATATTATATTATAAAATAATCTATTATTGAATATAACAAAATAATTTTTTTTTTTTTTTTTTTTTTAAATTTAATATATATATACAACTAAATTTCAAATAATATTATTATATTAATTAATTATAATATGATACATTTATATAAATTTAAAATTAAACTTTTATATAAAAAGAAAGTTAAAAAAATATTATAAAGAATGTTTAAATATAATAAGTATTTATATTTTATTTTTAATTAATATTAAATATTAGATAATAGTATATATTAATATATCAAATTAAAATATAATCAATAAAATTATTCTTACTACCTACAACAATATAATTTATATATCATATTTATTTAAATACCTTATGTCTTAGTAATTATAATATAATATTTTACAATAGTTATTTATATATATATTTTTTTTTTAATAAATTTTATGAACTTTTTTTTAAGAATTAATATTAATTTAATAATTTTCTAAATAAGTATATTACTCAAATTTTAATTTTATAATAATATTTCTATTTTATTAGTAATATAATTATGAGCTTTTTTTTGTATATTTTTAAATAAAATAGAAAATAGCAACATAACTACTATTATTTTAGAACATAATATATTAAGCTAAAATTTATAATATTATTGATATTTTTTAAAATAATTATAAAACAACTAAATCAAATTAAAATAAAATTTTTAAGTTAAAATGTTAATTATTAAGATATTTAAAAATTATGTTTTATTAGCACAGAAAATATAGAAATTGATTTAAAATTATTATTATATCATATTAAAATGCTTTTCATAATTAATGTATTAGAGCTCAGCTTTAAAAATAATAAAAAAACTTGTACTTCTTGACTATTTTATTTATAAATAATGAAGAATATTTAATAAAAAAATTAAAATAATAAATAATATTTATTTATTTTAATTTAATTTTCAAAAATAAATAAACATTAAACTATAAATTAAAAAATAAAATATTTTTAACTTTTATTAGAAATTCTAATAATTTTTTTTGAGTATTAAAAACAAAATATAATATATATATCTTTTTTTTTTAATTTGTATTAAAATAAAAATAAGTACGATATATTTTTCTATTTATAATAAATAAATACAAAATATGTCAAATAATAATAACAAATCAAACAATAATAATGATTACGAAGAATAATTATAGAACTAAAAACTAATGGATAAAATAGAACAAAGTTTCAGTAAAAAAAACGTTGAATATATGAGTTTATACTAAAAATCATTTATTTTGAAAGACGAGAAGAAAAAAAACGAATTAGAAACCTCAGAGATGGATGAATTAATAAAAAAGATAAAGGAAGCTTAATATGAAAAAAAAATGGCCTAAAGATAATTTGGATTTGACAAAGAATATTTGCATTTTTTAATTCGTAATAATATAGATTTAGTTACTAACCTAACATTAGAATCTATATGCTTATTGATTTGTTATCCTTTTAATACTATAAAAACTAGAATTTAATCAAAGCATCCATTAGAAGATGTATCTTATTTTATAAAAAATAATGTTGCTTAATAAAGTATTCAATTTTATAAAATTAAATATATTATATATATAAATTATTTAAATATAAAAGCTTTATATAGAGGTATAGGATAAGGAATATTAAGTGCAACAATAGGAATATCTGTAAATAATGCAGCATTTAGATGGTTTAATTTACAAATGAAAAAATTACATTATTGGAATTAAATAAGTAATTTTAAAAAACAACTTTTAGCTTTTTGCTTTGCAGATGTTTTTGCAACGCCATTCCGTTTACCATTTGAAGTTAGAAAAATGTTTATTTAAATGAACGCGGGACCTATAAGCTTTAATAAATATATAAATGCCATGAAAATTTCATTATTGCCTTCAATTATAAGGTAAAAAATATATATATATATATATATATATATATATATATATATATTTATATATTTATATATTTATATATTTATATATTTATTATTCTTAAATGCTTTAATATTTATTTTTTAGAGACTTTTCATTTAGACTTGGATTTAATATTACATACTAATTTTGCTTACATGGATAAAATTATATAAATTATTATTCCAATAGTGATGATATTTAAAGAGAACTTCTTAAAATTAATATTGAAAAAAGTTAAGCTAGTTACGATAAGAAAATTGCAGGAATGATATTAGGATCTCTAGTAGGTATTTTGCTTAGTAATCCTTTTGATTTGATTAATACTAGGTTAGTTACCTAATAATATAATAAATATACAGGATTTGTTAATTGTTGTAAAACTATCTTGAAAGAAGAAAGTTCAGGAAAACTCTTTTTAAGTGGATATTGGCCGAGAACTTGCTATTATTTGATTTCAGGATCGCTTATTTTTAATTTTTACGGAAGTTTTAGAAATATTATTGAAGACGCTTACAGTCTATGATTCTTATGTTTTTTTTGTTATAAACTAGTGTATAAAAAATATAATTGTTTTTAATTTTTATTTAATTTAATTTATGTTTTTTTATTTATATTTAAAATATTTTATTTTTATATATATTTTTTTTTAAAGTTGCGTTTTTTTATATATATATATATAGATTTTTATTTTAAATTAAAAAAATATAATAAATATATTAATATTATATAAATAGTTAATTTTATTTAATTTTATAAAATAAAAAAATAACAAATTTTTTAAAAATAAATATAAATAAATATTAAAAAAATGTGGAATAAATAAAGTGTTATGACTTTTAGCAAAGAAAATGAAATAAAATAAGTATTTTTTTAACTTTGAAAATAAAAAAAATTAAATAAATAAAAAATATAAAAAAGCATTATAAAAATCATAAATAATATCTAGAAAGCCTTAAAAAAAGCTCAAAAAAAATGATCGATAACTCAATGCCATTTATAAAATAAAAATAATCTTTAGTACAATCAAAGCCATTTAAAGTAAGATAAATTGAAATATAAACAGAAAATGGATCTTTAATAAATAAAATGTTCTAATTCTAAAAAAACCCAGGAATATACAGTAAATAAATTCTTTTGAAATTTAAAGCAAACTAAAGTAATAAGAGCTTATTTTAACCTTTAATCAAAGCAACTGAATAAAAAGTCTAATAAGAAAATCTAGTATTGATATATAATTAAAATATTTATATAATTTAATAAAATAATTAAAAAGAAAATAAATTAAAGATTGTAAAACGCTACCTCTTCAATTAATTTTGTTGATCTTAAAAAATAATATAAATTGAATAAATCATATAAAAAAAATATAGTTAGAAATTCGAGTACAATTATTTTTATAAATTAATTTTTAATTAATCTTATTTATATTAATTTTTATAAAGGAAGAATTTTTAATTGTTTTTTGCATCATAATAATTAATTAAATTGTATTATATATTGTCTATTGTAAATATTTTTTATAATAAAATAAATTTAGATTCTAAATATAAAAGTCAAAGTAAAAATGATTAAAGCACAAAAAGAGATACAGAAAATAATACTATAAGTTAAGAATAAAAGAATTAAAATTAAGATAATATTGAAAATATATAATAAAATGAAATAATTGATAATGATTAATAATAAAAAAATGATCTAGAAAAATAAAATAATAATTAATTGTATGAAAAATAATTGTAATAATAATAATAATAATTAGAAAAATAACAATAACAATAACAATAACTATAACAAAAATAATAATTAGAATAATAATAATTAGAATAATAATAATAATAATAATAATAATAATAATAATAATAATAATAATAGTAAGAAAAATTGAAAGATTATAATAATAATAATAATCAATAATAAATTTAAAATACTGAATAGATTAAAAAATAAAATAATGAATAAAGTTAAAAAATCCAAAAAAAAAATCCAAAAAAAAAATGAAAATATATTATATATAAATTTGGTTTAAGTTATACAAAAATTTATTTATATTTTAATAAAAATAAAATATAAAAAATAAATATATATTTTTTATAATATATTTAACAATAAATTTTAAAATTTATTATTTAAATATTTTTTATCTATCTATTATTAATAATTTTTTTGATAATATTAAATATACATTTTTAAATTTCAATTTTTTTCATTAAAATATTATTTAATATTTAATTATATATAAACACTTTTTAAAAAATTAAATTATTCGCGAATTTATTATAAATATCTAAATATAAATGATTATTATAATATAAATAATTAAATTAATAAGTTTTATTGAAATTAATTAAATTTATATCGAATATAATTAATTAAATATTATAATAATTTATAAATATCATATATAAATAAGTATCATTTATATTTTTATTTTTTAAAATTTTATTCAATTCTTATATTTTTATTAAGAATAATTTCATATACAATATTATATATTTAATTATTTTGTATTTTATATAATTATTTTGTTTTTAAAATATATAAATTCACTATATTTAAAGCATTAAAATCAATTTTCATCGAATATATCATCCTATTTTATATTGATATTTTTTTTAAAAAATATTTTATTAAATTTTTTTTTTATTTTAAATTTTATATTTATTTTAC